TTCATATTACTTTGCAACTCGGAGATAGTTAGTCCTACCCCTTCGATCATCGAACTTAGTAAGAAAAACCTGATCTTGTTTCTCTGCGAGTACAGTTAGCTGCGAAGCATTAAGTAATCGGAGCCGAGAGCGGCCAGATAATGTTGCGCACGCGTGAAATATATCCGAGTGTTTTTATTGCGACCGCGTTCCGCTCCCGGACTGGTATGCGCGTGTCTCTGAGCCGAAGAAATTCTGTCGACGAGTGGTTTGCCTCACGGCGACCTTGCCGCGCGCAGCCTCCGCATGCTGGATTGCCCTGCCATGTTGTCCCCCTCCCTTCGCCCCGCACCGTCGCTGCTGCTGTCGAGAAAGTAGGTGACGCCGCCCGCCGCGTCACCGGCGCGGTGCTGCATCCGACACCGTCCGCCCGCAGCCGCGTTGCTTTTCCAACACTCGTCTTCATTTGGCCATATACGGACCCAAAGCTTAATTTAAAAAACGACTTTCTAAAAATACCTATCAGTACCTACGTAAATATTTTTTCCATAAATCTAATTTAAAATTTAGTTATGAACGAACTTGTTTAGATATTTATTTAATTGTTAATGTGCGCGTTATTATTTTTATATTTTCTCACTTTAAATTAGTTATGGTATTAATAAGTTTTATAGAGAGATATTTATTTATAGTATTATATTCAATTATAACAATGGCAATTCATATTCAATTATAACAATGCATTTATTATTATATTATAATTATCTATAACAATATTTAAGTGATACTTATACTAATTGAATTGTACACATTAAAATTAGTTTTAAGTTTAAAATACACATTATAATATTTCGGATAGATAAAAATATTAGAATAGAAAATTATGTCAATTTATAAAATGGTGTTAGCAATTGCACGAAACTTATAAAACTACTGATCGAGTTAATGACAGGCAATATTTATAACGTAATGTATATTAAGTAAGAAATGAAATATTTTCGATAGCAGTTAAGTACAAAGATATGCTACATCATAAAAATCTTACATAGAAATAGGTGCTTAGATTGCAATTAAATACTTCGAGGTAACCGGAAATACAATTATCAATTCGATAACAATGGCTTACGCCACATCTTCGTAGAAGAATTCACGAGGGAACACATTCCATGTATGATAAATGAAACTGGCCACATTTAGCTGAATGCTTACCAAGGAGTTCCAAGATTGCTCACAGGGCAGACCAACGTACTCATATCTGACATTACTTCGATGTATGTTTGAGTGAGAAGCTGCCAATCGTTTGTTTGGTGCATTTATTGTGGCTTTGAAAGTGATTGATCCGTGATTATCTATGACCTACTATATTCCATATTTCATAAATGTATGTATTATTTTTTTATAATTTGAATTAAGTTGATTTCATCTTTATTTCATAATAAGCATGCAGTTAAAGAATAGCCTAATCTCCAGTGTAACTGTCTTCTAATCTTTCTACATAGTTTTGTTTCGTTGTGTTCTTCGATATTTGACTTCATTTCAATGTTATTTCGTCTAAATTAAGTATGTAATAATGTAATCGAAGTAAATATTATATAAAATATTCTATTGCATTTATAAACAATAATTCGGTAATATAGGTATTTTTCTAGATATATATTTTTTAACTTCGCAAAATATAATGTTTACATATTTATACGCTCACGTTATTAATAATAAAAATATGTTACTTATCTAATTTACTCACTTTATTTAGCTTATGAAGAAAATAGTACGTAAGAAAATAATATGTTTAGTCTTTATTAATTAATTACTTTTTAAACTTTAAAAACTAATTAATAGAAATAACTACACTGATCTAGAGTAGTTGAGTACATAATATCAAGATGAATGTAGTTTTAGTTGTGGATAGACATTAAGTAACATAGCAATGCGATAAGATTACAAAACCCGAATAATAAATGTTTTTGTTACTCTTTTAACGAGTGGTTTTTATAGCGTCTATTGTCCCAATCGGACTCAATCGGTAGTTAGACGATTAACGACCACTTGATTGACATGTCGAACAAAAAATGAAACAATACTGCTAGTACATATTATTGCTACTGTCTTATATCTTACCCACATCGCAGGGCGTGTAAACTATTGTTATCTAACTCACTTATATTTATGATTTATTTCAAAGTTTTGTTATTGTGCTCGGGTTAAGTAGTTACATATAATATTAAATAATAATGTATTCAAATTAGAAGATAAAAACTAAGAATAGTTCGTATTATGGCTCCTAGACTACTACTAAACATAGGTTCCCTTCCCTTCCCTATATAAATATTTTTTTTGTAAATACAACCTATAAAAATGCTTAGATTAATATTAATTATGTAATGAAAAACTTCATAGCGATCAATATCGACAGAATTTAAATTCAATTTCAATTTCAAGAATATAGAAGGATCATTGAAATCTAACCCTAGCTTAATACAAGAATAAAATAATAATAGTATCTTTATTCCGTATAATATTTTGGCAGTTGTAATTCTACTCTATTCTAACATATGATAATAATTGTTGCAGATTAAAACTCTAATAACTATAACAATTAATTTGAAACAACACAATGGTTTCAAAATAATTGTTATAGTTTGATATTCTTTATTTAAATAACTAGTTTCTAGATAACGTTAACATAAAAAAATATACACGTGTTATGCCTAATTTGCTAGTAGGTACACAATTAATTACTTCAATTGAACTTGAAAAAAAAATGCGGAATTTGGTTTATAATATAAATCTCTGCATTGTGTTTAGAGAATTTAATAATATAGCAGAACGTTATTATGTTTTTTTTTTGGTTTGGCATTATCGAAGAGGATGTGAAACCGGAACTGCTGTAATTGACAATATCGGTGTGGCGAGATGGTCGTAGCCCGCGACTATCCGCCGTGTAAACGCACTTAATATGAACCACTTTTTGCTCCACCCTGTTATTATTAATGAATAAATGGTATATGTTAGCATGTTAGAGTAGGTACTCGAGGTCAACGATCGCGTGGTATGCTGTAAAAAATGTGCTAAGGACGTCAGATCGGAATTCTATCAATTGTACAACCGATATATTTAGGTGCCTATACTAATACAGCCGGGGTCATTAATTCTCTTATTACTTTTGAATAATTAATTAACAGATAATTCCGAAAGCATAAGCTTTATCGAGTTTGCTCGTTAGTTAACCAGATTGTTGTTACACCGATTTTAATTAATTTTTCCCTCTGATTACTATGTTATAAAAAATAATCGTTGAATACGAATTTATGGGTCTTGATAAAATACCAAATAAAATATACGTGGACTTATATCTGGTAGCAAGGCAAGCAAAACTTAGAACGCCTTGTGCATACCTAGCTTCGAATTAATGGTCTATATATTTTGTACGAAATATACCTATAGACCATTATTTCGAAGAATTCTAATAGATAATTATTAAAATTAAATAGTAGTAATTCTAATAGTTAATTATTAAAATTATGAGTAATAATTATTAAAATTCCTGTTAATCAATAAAATATTTGAAGAGCATTATTTTAATACAGGGAAGTGATTTTTATAGATTTTTTTAATAAACCGATAATACTATCTTTACATTGTTACTATTACAAAAACACAATTTTACTCCTATAAGATCTACGAAATGAATAAACAATAATACTACGCATGAACAAATACTACTTTATAGGTATAATGTAGGTACTTATAACGAAAAGAAAAAGTCTGTAAAGTGACTTAAACGTAACTTTAACTTCTCTATGAAAACTTTTCTTCGCCAATACTCAATATATAGTATAAATTACAAGCGGAATACAACAGACAATTTCTTATTATTATTAGATAACTTAAATAATTATGTTAGAGACTTCATATATTTCCATATTTGTAAGTACCTATCTCAATACTTACATATCATATACGTAATAATATACTCAGATAATTGCTCAAACAATATTACTATTTATGAAAATCGTTGTCTAGTAACTTTCGATAGTATTTATTACACAGTATATAACCAATCTTATATGCAAATTCTACAAGTGACGCAGTTGTGTTGTCAAAAAGTTGTAGAATTTAAAATTGTTTTTATACAACTTGTTTGGTACAATCACCTCTAATTATGGTTATAAGGTCTTGATAATAAACATATAATAATTTTTTGTCTGTCTATCTATCGTGCTTCATCCACTTTCATAACTCGTCTCATGCATGGATATACATTATGTTAGATATTCGTACCCAACAGTTGGAGAATAATATATTGACGTCATGATGGCGATAATTCAGAACAAACATTTGTCAATACAGAAATCCCATAACAGGAAGATAAACAAAAACAAACTGTATATATAGGGCTATACATATATTTACACCTTACACGGTTGACACCTGTTATCAAATCAGTTACCAAATTGGATCCAGATTCGAAGGGATTTTCCTGTTTAATTACAAATATCCTTTAGTTATCTTAGAACTTCATAATCAGAAATTTTGGCCTGATATTGCGAGGTCTTTGGTACTTCTATGTAGGTAGTAGAAATTTACACATAGCGGATAGATAGACTTATAAAAGCGTGTATTAAAATTACTTAGGTATAATTGTTATACTTTAATTGAGGGGTTTCAACAACACAGTGTTACATTATATTCTTATTTTCATAACGTAATGAAGGAAATGATCTAAGTCTAATTGTGAGGTAATCAATATAATAATGAGGTGACTTTTCATTAATGGGTTATATGTGGAAGAGCAATATATTAAACTGACGTACCAAAAACATTTTTAGTATATTATTTGCATTTCATAATAAAATTTATATACATATATCTAGTCTATACTTTTAAATGTAACGTAATTAATTGAGAGCAGAACTGGTTATTTTTTATAATCGTGAATCCGGATTTCCTCGCGTCTCTGTAAATAATAAGTAACATACTACTTCTTTTTGGTGGTTTATAATTGAGTATGGTAATGTTAGCAGGTGTTGCGCACGAGTGGCGTGGCGCGAGGGTGTGATGCAAGGAGCGCTGAACGGCGGGCGCCGGCGCCGCGAGTAGTTGCGACCATGCGGGCGCCGCGCCGCTCCGCACACGCCGCCGCCTGCCTGCTAGCGCTCGCCTTCACGCTCGCCGACCCGGTATCCGCATCATCCGGTGGAATTAGTAAGAATCTTTTTATTCCTAATAACCATTCCTTCATTCCAACCATCTTTTATATTATCTTCTAGTAACAATAAATGTTACTAGCAGTCGTATCGAAATTAGCACAGAAGCTTTAAGTTTGAAAGTTATTAAGGACCACTCTCAAAACTTTGTAATCTGTAGTGACCTATTAAACTATTTAACTTCATTTACTTAATGACAGCCTCGGTGGTCTAGTGGTTTAGCACACCTCCTTTCTTCCGATGGTCGCAGGTTCGATTCCTCGCACGGCACAAATATTTGTATTCATGAGTATGATTGTTTGTATCGCTCTGGGTATTTTTAATGTATGTGTTTACGAAAAAAAACTATGTGTATATATCAGTTATCTATAGTAGTACCCATAACACAAGCTTTAGCTAGCTTAACTTGGGTTTAGATGGTAATGTGTGAATTGTCTTGAGATTATTATTATGAATGGTTTAATCTCAGTTCAAATACTATTTAACAAAGCACATTACTTGATTATACTGTTTTTTATCGTTCACCGGGTCACACATAGTTCTAACCGTAAACACTCTAATAAATTATGTTTTTACCTGTAATGTTGAATTATCATTGCTATCACTGACCCATGCGAATTATGTCACTGTGTAATCTGCGTATGATGGTTTTCTGCCTTAGTCCATCTGCCTCAGTCACTGTCTTAAAGATAATTAAATGATTATTGTACCATTTATAAAAAAACATAAATAAACACAAATATAAATAAAGTCAATTGCTTAATACTAAATATTTGTATTGAATTATAATTACTGGAATTATAAGAGTTTCGATATTTTGGTTGGTTTTTGACATCAGAGTAAAAATATAATACTGTTAAGCGAAGGAAAGCAATAGGTATACTATATTTATTCTACCTATAAGTACGAGAGAACCACTAGAATAAAAGAAATATGTCAAACAAACATGGACCAAAGAGTCATTGTTGAGGGATTACTAACATCAACATGGAACTGAATCGTGAAGAATAAAAGCCAGATTAATTCTGTAGAGAGCTTCGAGAAATGTAGGCGGCGGCTGAAAGAGGTCTGTTGGAATTGACGCACTTAGTTTCATCGTTTCTGCCTATAGCATTGGGAGACAGGAGTGATGTAAACATTCACAGTAAATTAGTAGAATAGTTCGTCGTTAAAATCACCATGATAAATAATTACAATTCGTTTATATTAATATAATAAAGTACATAGATTTTATTATTTCACTGTAATGGATAAATGTAGAAAAAATAATGGCCGTTTTAAAAAAAATATTTTAGATAGATGCAATATCAGAAAATATTATTGACTGATAAAAAATATAATTAAGCTGTAACTGGATGTTTTAATATGGGATCTATTGAGAGGTTTTTATGAAGATATCAATGAATATTTATGCAAGTAGGTAATCACTATATATAAAAAATACATTACAAATAATTGCGTAACCAGGATATGATTACAGTGCATTAAGTCTGAGCCAATAGCAGTATCTATTACATACATTGATTTATGTAAAGCAGCGTTGTCTAATGACATTTTATCCCTAGGCTGTGATTGAATACAGCTCTCAAGGAGCAACTTTCGAAAAATTAATCTCATCAATCTAGACGTTATTATTGAAATGACTTATAAACACCGACCTAATGACTACTTTATGTATATTCGCATATGCCTTTAATATCTAAAATACAGCAATCAAACTGCGTGTAAAGTGTTTAATGTACCGTACAGTTTCGTTATTAGCATAATTTCTTGTCACTTGCTGGAATAATAGTATTCGAGTATTTAACGGTAATTGGTATATTGAGCATGAGATGAAATATGTAAAGGATGATGAATTTATATTTGAATAGGATATAAACAAGTCATAAATTATACATAATATCTAGTCTAATTTATATTTACATATAAATAAATGTTAACTACCCTAAAAGAATAAAGAGGTAAAAATTATACAAGTAAACTTGGATTATTGGGGTATTGAATATAAATATTCAAGTTTGACATAGACTATATGTATAAAACTACAGTCAGGTGGTGAAATTTTATACTTATATTTGTCTTATTAAATTAGTTGTCATGTTACTTAGAAAATATAAGTCTAGACGTCATAGAAACCCCTAAAGATGGAACTTCTAGAGTCTTTCTAGACTCTACTTTATATCATTTTGTCAACATAATATTTTACATTTAACTAATTATTTTATATATTTCATTGTTTTAATTAACGGGAGCAACTCTCTTTGATTCGGTGGCAATGAAGTAGTAATTAGTAGTATTTTTTTTAAATATTCTTACCATAAAATATTATATGTTATTATTATATATATTTTGACATCAATGATTATAATAAGAATTATCGAAATCGTTCAATTTCGTCTAAGACTGCGGGGTATCCAGCTAAATTATACAAAATTCAGCCGAGTTGAATATATTCTAATTTGACAGTTGGTTGATGAATACGTATGCTATGCATGAAGTTTTGATTTACAAATAGCAATACATGTTGAATATGAAATCTTGTGTTATTGTATTTGACATTGATGAACCTAATAGCTTATCTACCAATTTATCTACGTTATTGAAGGACTTTCCTTGATCGTGATGTGCATTCAAACCTGATTCTGTTATAAGATATGATATACAATGTGTATTATCTTGGAATTAAATTAAATATCATTATGTAATCATGATTAATTTTCGTAGCTGGAAAGCTTTTTATTATTCGACATAATTTAAATCCTCTACAATATGAATTACCTATCTAATTTGTTCATTTAAAATTCAGTGAATTATTTATATATTCATTTACCTTGAAAACCACTCGTTGCTATGAGATAGCTAGTATAAAATATAAATACAACTTGTCCACAAAACGGAGATGGGTACCTATCTTATGGTAAAAACATTAACGATTAACTTTATCTTGAATCAATTGATAATAATATTATGATCAATTTTTCACATGAACTTCGTGTATCATTCTTCTTTAACAGTTTTTATATAAATAACAGTAAATGAGACGGATTCGGTCATTAGTTTCATTGAGTTCGCACCCAAACATATGTATGAGATGTATTATCTCGTAAAACATGTTGGTCGTAAGCATACATTAATTGCCAAAATATTTACGCAGGACACTGTGATCGGCGACGATGGCGCCAAAAATGACTAGGTAGGTAGGTACGTAATAAGAATGCGGATCCGTAGATCTAAATCAAGATAATAGCGTGATCGCTCCGCTACGACATCAGATGACGACATTACTGTGTCGTCCCGTTGTGGCCAAGTGTGTTCCATGGCTATTAACTGATACAATCATGATGACTGACACTCATCACTTGTTGTTTATTATAGCGAACCTTTATTTCTAACTCTACTGATTGTTTATGTGTATTGTACGTGATATTTTTGCCATTTCTACAACGATTTGGACAGTTCTTTTAGTAGTGGTGATAGTGTGAAATAGGGACTATTATTTGTTGTAAAGTAAAATATAGTTGTGTAACTCTACATAGTTTCTTTATTTGAATGTAGCCTATATAAAAACTTTGTGATTTACATGCTTATTTAATGCAGATATATAGAGAGCAGACTCATCTGTCATAATAATGTACAACTTAAGTAAATCTCAGTAGACTTACTAAGCATTACTTGTTCATCAGAATGACTTTGGTCACTTAACTTTTAATTAAGTTGCATAATTCTATTATTTGCATAATATCTGAAACTTGAAAACCTGAGACCTGAACCTGAGTGTTAGAGTCATAAAATTGTCTCTTATTCTCATAGGGTTTTCCATATTCAATAAAAAAAAATACAACAGGAAATATATATCGTGATAGCTTTTTTCTGGAGTCAGGATTTTAAAAAGTTGTAACAACCTGCAATAGTATCCACAATAATACTCTAGCTAGTATTGATAGTATTGATTTAATTATGCTAATATTTTATAAAATAATTACATTAATGCAACATATTGTATCAAAGGAGTAGTATAGAACAATTTGTTAACAGCAAATTTTGTAAAGGTATCTTTAGGGCTGTCGTAAATTATTCAACAAGACAGTTTAAAGTGCTTTATTCGTGCAGTTGATCGTGGACAGTAAAATGTTCCCACGCATATTGCTTAAACTATAGCCTCCTCCGCATTCGGTGGTCACTGAGAGAGCACCTGGCTTGTACCAAGCGGTCAGGTAAAAGCTAAGTAAACCTATATACCTAAGTATCTGAGACAACACTGACAATGCAATTAAAGGATCTTAATAAAATAAGTAAGCAGTGGGTGAAATAAGTATTTAACTACCGCTTATATTGAAAATAACTAAAAAATTTTAAATTTAAATTTTGATTATTCCGCATTTATACGTTTTGTATTATATCTATTACCTTACTTTTTCAGTAATATGAAAATACATATCAGTATAATGTATTCGTTATAACTACTTCAACTTGCTTTCGCCTTGTAAGACCTCCTTAATGTCCTTTAATGTCTTCAAACTATTTAGTGCCCACAAGATATCGTTCGCTTTTAGAAAATCATTTTGATAACGTTAATAGATCGTTTATGGGAATGGTCATTAATTTTTAGAATATTGTAACAATTTCAATGTTTTTCTTTAAGAAATATTTATTAATTAAAGCTTGTTTACACTGTAAAAGATTATTTAGAAAACAACTGTGTGTGGGATTAATAGTTCAGACAAGGGATTTCATATACATTATATGCCCTCTGTAATACTTTTTGCAAAGATTAGTTAGGAATTTGAGTTTCTGGACGGTTTTTCACAAGTGAAGTAGTCAATCTAACAAGCTAGTAGGGGTAGATAAATAATTATGACTTGCATAATGGACCAAAAGTGTCCTATACGAGCAAAGGATTTTATTTTATTCTTTTTCAGTTTGATTTTACAATGTTTCACTTAATAATTCTGTTTCAGTTGGGGAACGTTATTCCTGCTCTAACGAAGGCGAGCCTGTACCTCTGCAAGTTGCAAGACTCGAGCAAGACTGGAGCAGCTGCTTCCGTTGCATCTGTAAGGTAAGCGTCATTGTTAAATCTTTATTTCTCATAGACTCGATCACAGACTTACACTTAGTTATTTAGATTGTATTGTTTACTAGGTTTAGACTGCGACGCTGCTTGCGTGGAATATAGCTTATATTACTCACAGATTAGGTAAGCTACCTACACACAAATAAAACAATATTTAAAACTGTTGAAATACTTTTTTAAGTTTATCCTTACAAACCAGGTTAAGTACATACAACAAATCAAATAAGTTCTCTATATACTGCATAGTATTAACTAGATCTAAGTTTGTCATTTTAGTTATATCTAGCTATTTAAGCTTTACAACTAAAAAACATATCATGGTATACAAAAATAAAATTAAAAATTATTTTACAGTGCAGATTAAAAAAAACACATTTTTTATTTATCATAAGTGGTATGTTATATATGTATCGTATTGCACTAAGAATACAATAAAAAACAAGCTTTACAACCTTCAGGATATCATATGTGAGATTGCGTCAGAGAATAATAAATTACATCGGAAGAGAAGAAAATCTCGATATAAAACCCCATACTATAATTACGCATGGTAGCAGTAGTATAAGTCCTTCTTTTAATAGAAAACTGTAATCTCACTGCCATATCCTACCCTACAACCGAATAATAGCTAGCATAGCTTGCCTTACTGAAATGAAATGTAGACGACATATGAATCCACGTTGACAACTTTGTACGAAGTTTACCTCTAGTGACAATGCGAAATAAGGATTGTTGTGATGATAATATATATGAATATATGTATATAATAGATCTAATCAGTTATAAATATACATTAAGTTTATTTGCATATATTATGCACCTTAATACAAGTACTACCACAGAATGTTTTATAGTACTGTACCACCCACTAACATTGATGTTTCACTTCAATCTGTTTATTGGAATAAAAATGTTATAGAGTCTGAGTCTGAAACTATTTTGTGTATGTAATGAAGTACGAATAAAATAAACCCTTCTCCTCGCTAAAACATATATAAATAAATGTTTAAGTAAGTTAGTTTGTAACCTCCTGAACTGATAATCATGAAATTTAGCGCATAAGTAGTCAAAGAATTTATAGGATGGAGAAAGGCAAAAAAATATTCGATGCATTTATTCATGAATTCATTTTTGGATAGGTGAATATTTTGTTTCTATTATTAATCTCTAATTGCTACCAATTTAAACCAATGCGCAGTACAATATAGAGAGAATTACGATGTAATAATAATGATTTTAGCTCCGCACATAATTGTTATAGCTTTATTTAGGACCATTACAATGTTAACTATACATTCTAAAAGGCGATACTATGTAGATTCTGATTTGCATATAATTATTCATATCAAGATTTATTCGCCACACAATGTAAATAGTACAGCTTCGTTGACGTAATTTTATTTTGAGAATAGGTATTTATGAAGCTTATATAATGTGTTAACTGAATGCTTCTTAGAATTATTTCAATTAATATTGGGATTCTCTTTAAATTAAGTATTTAAATCTTAAAATCTTAAAACTTAAAATCTTAAAACTTGGTATAGGAAAAACACATAATAACATATATGGATAATTTCATAATTTTGTGTCTTACTCTGTAGCTCTATCTGTTCTAGTTACTATTGTGAACACATATATATATATATATATATTATTATTATTATTATTTCATTCACAACGAGTTCAAGTGTTAATAATCCAAAACGAGTCGAAAAGAACAAATATCAAAGAAATTAAGTTACAACAAAAAGGTACAATTAATGTCGGCTTATTAGCGAATATTATATCATTCGCCGTAATAAATATAAAGTTATAATTACACTTACTTCTACAAATAATTCAATTCTTTTATATCTATCTAAATATAAATATAGTGGTATATTTAAATTATACATATAAATTACCATATTATTATATATTACCAAAATTATAATAATTAATTACATATTAAATCTTTACGTATAATATGAACAGTTACCTATTATTGTATCTATAATATTATACTTTGTAATTATCATAATACTAATGATTTAATATAATATAATTGATTTTTGCTGAACACTATATTTTATTATATTAAGGCTAGATAGATATTATGAGTGTGTTATTTAGTCGTTTTGTAAAAAACAGTAAAACAATTTTGTGGGTTTTATCTACAGTGTGTAGTTTACATGTAACACACGCGCCTGATTAATTTCATGGAACTAGTTTCGAAAGTGTTTTCGAAATTTGCTTTCTCCACAATGAAAACTACTCGAACAATATTGCTGAAATCTTGACTCTGTCAGCATCAAAGCTTTCACGATATTAATTTCACGTCACATTTACATTATGAGAAAAGTATGGGTGATACGAGGAGTAGCAATAATAAACAATATGGCTGGATAAATAAGCGCAACAACTAAAATTAATTATTAAAAGCGAACGAATTAAAATTTAATTAAAATAGATTTCCATGAATTCCAAATGTTACAGCAACAAACAAAAAAGAAAAAACCCTTTGTGATAAACGGGCAAATATTCGTATGGATGTACACTAGACTTGTCTCAAACCGATACATATGTAGGTGATTTTTAAAATAGTCAGTGGGAAATTTCATGTGTCAAATTGGTTGTAAAGTCTATTTTTGTTGTATAATGCTAACATAACGCTTACGTGTGAATTATAGAAGATGACCTACGTAATTGTCTCTACTTTTGGCTAAATATGTTTGTATGCCTATACGGTGACTGCTGTCACCGAGTCATTTATCACACTCCAAGTTTAGAATAATAATTCTAACTCGCGTGTGACATGCTCACACCTAGACAATGACGGGTAATTTGATTAGCGACTGTATAAGTAATACGTGGAATTTTAAAAAAGTTTCAAAGTAGTGACAATACTGCTCCGTGTCACAATAGATAATAATAACACTTAATATCGTATAATATCTACTATAGACGATGATACTACAGGCCTGATTTTTTATACCTACGTTTTACGCTCGTACGTTTTTACTCCTACTTCATATGCTGGTAATTTATAACTTAATGAATAATGAATATAACTTAAAAGGTTTTTTAGTAATAAGTAATTGTATTTATTAAATTATAAATGACTTGCATACCTACTGCATGTGCTTTACTCATAGGTCATTATAGTAATTGTAGATTTTGTTTATTCTATTTGGAGAAAGTTATACTGCCCATGAATACTATCACTGAGTTATGTAATAGCTCATGTTCAAATTTTCATTACGTGATAGAATTTGAAACGAGGAAATTCGCATAGGAGCTGCCGGAGTAAAAGCTGGTAAGACGATGGCTATGAAAAATAATTCAGACAGTTAAATAAAATAAATGTACCAGTCGTGTTTCTTGTCAGTTCTTTACAGCTGAAGGAATCGTACTGGATGGTTGATAAAAAATGTTAACAACTATAATCAACAGAAGATGTCCTAAATGAACAAATTTTGATAATATATAACGATAATAATATGTAGGCATGTGGTCAGCAGTGGGCAATACATACGAGTAGGCAATATTCGCATGATGATGGCGAACCCCGCATATTTATTAAGCTAATATTTTTTATAATCAAAGAAACATAAGCAGAAAATTCCTAAAATAGAGAACGCTTATATCTAAATACCATAAACGTACGAAGTGCTAAGTGATAATTGTTAATACAAGTACATCACGTTTCCAGCATGTCTTAAGTGTTCCAAAGAAGAATAACCTGTTATATCTGTCTGTTGTTTCGTGTTGCTTTATTATGTCACAAATATGAAGAAAATTATTTTTAATCTGTTAAAAAATGGAAATGTTTTTAACCTTACCTTATATACTTCATGCGTGTTTAATATGTAATTACTAATTTCAACTGAATTGAGTATATATGATGTCGTATTATTATTAGATGTTTGTAACATATGACATACAAAATTACAAGTGATACTCTAAATATATGCTTTATAATAATAATACCTATAGTTATTTAAATAGTAAGTAATGTACATTTTTGTGATTTCGGGAATTAAAGATAAAACAAGAAAATACTTGGACGCACAGATTTTATTTGCACATATCAGTAATTTACAAAGAATAATATGTGTTAGAGAATTTATTTGTATTTATTATACAGGATGGTCTTGTATAAAGATCTTTTTTAAGAATTTTTAGTACTGCATTCTTTATCTAAAACAATTAAAGTGTAGTGCATTTCACGTCACTTAGTCGGCATTTCATCGGCGTGCTACACTATAGTGGCGCACAGTCGCGTCGCGCGGCTGCCATGGCGCCCAAGCAAAAAATACCAATGCGGAAACCGCATGGACTGTTATGTTAAGAATTCGACGCAACTGTTCCTTGCATTTACAATAACATCACATTACATAATATATTCTAGATGTTTTTCTCTTTATTGTCCCTTACGACGTAATACGTAAAAATATGTTACCTGGCAAATTATTGTGATTGTCAGTTTACATGTGACGTCAATAAAACATTATTACTGTATAGTTAACAACGACATGACGCCAGATGAATGTAAGTGAGATTGTGTACCGTATATCAGGTGGTATTTCCCAGCCGATCTCACCTCGCCGGATGACTTGCGCGGAATTCGAAAGCCCATCGAGATTTATCGCTTATTCTGAATTAAAATATACATTTGCTTGTTTAATGGGCTTTTTTGTCGCGTGCCACATAGCGACCATGGGATACTGTGCGCTCTTGATGGAATTTTTATGATTTATCAATCCTATGTCGGTTAATTCATATACGGTTGTATATATTAATATGTAGTATTCTATGTATGCATAGAATTTAATTTATTGTAATATGCAGAATACTTGATCTGGATAGGCGTAAGTCATGTTGACCCGCGGGTACCATTATTAGGCTTTTTATAAACTCCAGTAGCATGCCGATAGTATCTTGTAGCTCCCGCTCACCGCTTAATTTAATGAGCCATGTCATTTATCGCGGCACCGATTATACCT